GAATTAGGGTAGAAAGCACTCTCCCAATTAACCCTAACACCTTTAGAAGAAACATCTCTGCCCTTCTAGAAGAATCTGGAACACAATTGATCATTTCTCTTAACCACAACACAAGGAATCATTAGCTTTTTGCACCAAAAGTTCACCATAACAAACAAAACATCACCAATTAGCTACAATCTTCCAATATAGCTTAATCAACAATTTGTCCAACTCTCAATCTTAGCCTTAACCTTCTCCACCGGGACTAAACATCCATTCTCAGTCAGTTTACAATGACATGGGGCACCCCTAAATACCTTATAGGCAACTCACCCAACTTAAAACCAGTAGCCTCTTACATGAGCATCTTTGTAATACCCCTGACCTGTACCCGATCCAGATACGAATCCGAGGTGTCATAATGACTTTTCAAATCATAGAAAATTAACAAATACGAACAATTTAAAATTTTTCCTTATAAATAAAAGGTAAAAAACTTAATTTAAAATAAACTAATAAAATTCACATTAATATATTTTCATCAAAGCTTTAATAATTTACACAAGTACAAAAGTAGAAGTTTACAAAATATAGATTAGAGCATTTCCATATTAAACGCATAATACATGCCAACAATTTACAATATTACAAAACACCTACATTTAATTTGTTCTGATCTGATCTGATCTTTAAGGGTGTAAGCTATCCAGGCCAACTTTACTCTTCTGATTTCTTCAAACCTACGTGTGAAACAATCATACGCTAAGTCGATGACTTAGTGACATATACGAGATAAAACCAACATTTATAGACAAAATCTTTATTTATGTCATAAAACATTTCTTAAAGATTTCAATTGAATTACCATAAAAAAAATGTATGATGGTATACATTATTCATTTTATCACTTTGTTTCCAAAAGCCCAACGTATACTACTGATAACTCTAGGCATTTGATTACATTGAGGTTATGTACTAATGTTGTCACCACAACTCGTAATTTACACCAAAATGCCACATAATTATCCCGTATGACCACATAATTGTCTCTAAGAACCACATAGAACCCTCGACTCTTAGCATGCCAACTATACCTCTAATCCTTATACATATACCTTGGGTTATTCACCATATAATTATTTTCAATCATTATTCAAAGTGTCTCTTATTCACATAGTTACTTTCACATAAAGTATTTTCAGATACACTTGTTCAAAGGTCATGTTTCTATAATCATATAATCATAAAACATAGCTTACATAATATAAATTGAATAAAACATTGCAATAAATATAAAAGAAATGGTAAGGTTTCTGATCGAAAACACTGAGGTTGGCTTATCGCAAGCCTTCCTCAATTTTAATATAAAATTGAGAAGTTACACTCACCTTTGCCTCACTGAGTCCTAAGTTAAACCTTAACGCTTTTGGGTTGATACTTATAACGTCGAGTTGCCCGGAAGCTGATTATGTTCAACAATTAGACAAAACAATCAAAAATCAATATCGCACTTTGAGTCACGTATATCCAATCATAATAACTGAATCTGAAAGAAACACTTAATTTCCCATTTCATGCTTAGTTGTATCAGTCATACCACTACTGTACCGATATTTCCCTTTTTTGGTATCGATACCCCTCTATGGTACCGATACCATTATGACGTTCTGGAAATTTAACTTGGAAATGGTATCGATTCTATACCCTTGGTATCGATAATCTCAACTCAGTATCGATACTCTCTTCAACCAGTACCGATATTACCATTCAAAATTCACTAATTTGCCTTGAAGTATCGATATTGTTCTTCCAGTACCGATACTCCATGCCCAAAATTGCTATTTCTATTTCGAAAATCAACCAAAAACTTTATAAATCTCTTACTTCTATCCCTCATTAAGCCTTTAAACTCAACCTTATGCAATCAAACCAACTTGTCTTCATTTTCTACTCTTAAGCATACAAAATCTCACTAAAACTTTTACACCTAAAAATCATATCATGTTTTCAACCAAGCTCTTAATCATTTCTATTACTCCTAACCCTTTAGTTTTATCATTGATAAGTCAAATTTATCCATACAACTCCAAAAACTACTCCATATCAAAAATTCATTTCAACACCCATTTTACAAATTCATTTCTAATTTGCTCATCTTGTTGTTTTGCTCCTATACAAGCTTTCTTTAAGCTTATATAACACTCAAGCTTTCAACACCCAACCAAAAATTGAAGGAAACAACAAATTTACAAAACTCACATTTGATGGAGCTAGCTGGAAGAGGAAGAAAGAGAGAAAATATAAAGCTTCCAGATAACTCTTCTTATCCAAACACTTATGTTAAATATCTCTCCTTAAATGATTTTTTTTAATTCATTTCCGCCAAAAGACTTCTTTTCCCTTCAAATCTCCCATCTTTGCTAAAAAGCACTGAATATAATCTCCAAAATTAATCCTTGAACTTTTCAACTTAATCCAATTTAACTACAAACTTCAATTTCTTACCTTTTTGGTCACCGACCCGATTTTTGGGATGTTACAATCTTTTGATCCTCAAGAATTCTATAAGTGAACAATTCAGATTTCAAAGTATTGAGCATTAAACCAGACTACTCATAAAACACCTCCAACACACTCTTCATCCCTAAAATAGAATCCAAAGTACTCTAGCAAAAGATGAACAAGTTATCAGTAAACTATAAATGTGTGATTTGCACTCTTCTGCATTTGGGATGGAACTGAAAAACCTTCTGAGACATAGCTACATCCAACAAGCAGTTGAGGACATTCATTGCTAAAATAAACAAATATGGAGATAATGGATCCTCTTGCCTAACACCCATTTGCCCTCTAAAACCCCCTATTACCTAACACATAGAATCTATCCCCAAAGATACACGTCTGAACTCAATTTCTAAACTGTACAAGAATACCCACAGCTTCCAAAATGTTCAGAATAAAGCCCCAATTAAGAGAAACAAAGGCTATACGGAGGTCTACTTTGATAGCACATCTAAGTGACAAAGTCCTCCTACTATAACCTCTAATAACTTTCTGTGCAAGAAGAGTATTATTAACAATACTTATTCATTTCACAAAAGCAGCCTGATTAGGAACAACCAAACAAGGAATATGTTGAGCCAATCTAGCAACCATAATCCTAGTTATAACCTTACACTCAACATAACAACAAGTAATAAGCCTATAATCCCTAGCCATGCATGGATTTGCCACCTTAGGGACAAGGGTAATAACAGTGGCATTGGAAGCTGACAAAAGAGATAAGAAAGATAAGAAATACTTTACTGCAACAATGAAATCATCCCTACAATATCCCAAGCAGCCTTGAAAAATCCAGCTGAGTTGTCATCAGGCCCAGTGGCCTTATCCTTACTATGCCTATAAATGGCATCCCTTATTTCCTCAATTGAAATCTCCATGATTAAGCCACTACTTTCCTCAAGAGATAAATAAAACTTAAGCAACTCCCTCAGGTCCCCCACATTACAACCCTTAACATTATGATCAACTGAGTCAACCTGGCTAGTAAAGAACCTAACCATTTCAGTTGACATACCATCAAAAGTCTCCCATATGTGTCACTCATCATTTTGAAGAACCCTAAAAATATTTTTTCCCTTTTCACAATAACCTTAGAATGGAAAAATCTAGTTCACTGGTCTCCTTCTAGGAGCCAATCAATATTTGCTTTTTGCTTATAAAAAATCTTCAACCTTTTTCATCTCCAAAAGCTCCATTTGAAATCTCTTCTTAACCTCCATACCTCTAAATCAAAAGAAGATAAATTAATCACTTGTTGTTTTCCAAGTTGGTATCTTTTTTCAGTCACCTTACCAGAAATGCCATCAAAATGCCTTTTAATAAGTTCCCTTAACTGAGGCTTGAGCCTTTTTAACTTGCAGAACAAAATATACATGGGTCTCCATGAGCAAGCTCCCTCCAAGAGTCCTCAACAACATCTTTAAACTCAGGGTGTAAGACCCAGAAACTAAAGAATGTGAAAGGTTTAGTCCTAGAGGCCAAATTCTCCCAATCAACCCAAATAGAGTTAAATAGTGATCAGAAATACCTATGGCTAAAAAATCCACATGAGAATTAGGAAACTCAGAATACCAAGATATATTAACCACAATCCTATCAAATTTCCTTGCAAGGAAATTAGCTTCTTGTTTGTTAGACCATGTGAAAAAAAGTCCAATGTAAGGATTATCAACAAGGCCCATCTCAGCCATACAACTGGACAGATCTTCCATGTCAGGAGTACAACAAGAGCCATGCTCCTCCCAATTAGAACTCTCAGCAACCCTAGCAGTGACATTAAAGATCACCCTCCATCAGTCAAGGCTTGTTATCAACTAGATCCTCAATCCCACGCAATTGCTACCAAAGAGACTTTCTATAAACACCATCATTAAACCCATAAACAACAGAAATAACTAGATCATTGCCTCTCAGTCTACCTTGGATAGTAATAGACTGATCAGTAATAAACTAGAGTTTGCTTGACTCAGCTCTTTAAGATCTCGGGTCGAGCTCGAGTTTGAGTCGGATCAATCCGAGTCGAGCTTTTATCGAATTTTGACATATTCAATTCATCGTTTAATTGATTCAAATAAAATTATTAAAAAAATACACTCTTTAAAATCTATGAATTTGCAACCTTCATATAATCCCAGTGACGTTTCTTAAAAAAAAATCTACCCTTTTTCTTCCAAAACTCAAAACCCACCACTTTCAGAAAAATAATCTAAAAAAAAAGAGAGAGGAATCTGGATCTGTGCATGTTAGATGTTTACGTAGTAAATCTTTAAAGTGTTATCTGGGCTAACGTTAACGTTGCCATCAAAGATTTTGTTCCTTTTTGAGTTTTTTCACATTACTCTCCTCATCTAATTCCAAACCTTGTTTTCTGCACTTTTTTTCCTTCTTTATTATATCTTCAAAGAAACCAGTTATTGCTAGGGGAAGAAGAAGAAGAACACTTTGCTTCTTTTGACATGGAAAATGAGCTTCTTTTAACCTTAGTTATTTGTAGGTTGATAATCCTTATTCCTGGATTGCCTATCGACCCCATGGATCTTCTTGGTGTCGACGGGAAACTAAGCGTCGACCCGAACAACGTCGAACCGGCTTCTCTTGATTTCGGTTTGCTCACTCGAAGCCAGCCTCTAGCCGTCTTCCACCCCAATTCGGCTCAGGACGTTGCTCAACTGGTTAAAGCAGCCTACACGTCAAACCGGTGGCTTCCCGTATCAGCCAGGGGACATGGGCATTCAATAAAAGGACAGGCTCAGACCAAGAACGGTGTGGTGATTCAAATGAGTAGGTCAAAAGAAGTGGGAATGTTGGACTCGGTAAGGAAATACCCACCTCAGCCCCGAGTTTGGTCTCGAGAGAGGTACATGGACGTGTGGGGTGGGGAGCTTTGGATAGATGTATTGAATAGTAGCTTAGAGTATGGATTGGCACCAAAATCATGGACCGATTACTTGTACCTTTCTGTTGGTGGGACTTTGTCTAATGCTGGAATCAGTGGCCAAACTTTCAATCATGGTCCACAAATCAGCAATGTCCATGAGCTTGACGTAGTTATAGGAAAAGGTGAGCTTTTGACATGTTCAGAAAATCAAAATCCAGAGCTGTTTCATGCTGTTCTTGGTGGTTTAGGACAATTTGGCATTATCACCAGAGCAAGAATTTCCCTTGAACCAGCTCCACAAAGGGTATTTATCACTTTAGCCTCAAAGGATTTTCCACGTTAAATTTAAGTGTTTTTTTTATCGTCGTTATTATTGTACTTTCATCATTACAGGTGAGATGGATAAGAGTACTGTATTCGGATTTTTCGGCTTTTACCGGCGACCAAGAACATCTTATATCTCTACATGCACAGCCGGGGTGCCAAAAGTTCGATTACGTTGAAGGTTTCGTAATTGTAGATGAAGGGCTGGTCAATAACTGGAGATCATCTTTCTTTTCTCCTCCAAACCCTGTCAAAATCTCCTCTTTCGTTGCCACCGGAGGTGTTTTGTATTGCTTGGAAATCGCCAAGAACTACCACGAAACTACTGCAGAAACTATTGATCAGGTAAATATTATATTAATCATAAGTAGGGGTGTAAACTAGTCAATTCGAGCTCAAGTATTATTGATGTCAATTCGAAATTTCGCGAGCTTAAAATTATTAAATTCAATTTGAACTCGAAATAAAAATTGAAACTTCAGCTTGAAAAAACTTCGACTCGAAATATTTCAGACTTAGCTTAATTGAAGTTTGAACCTCAATATTAAGTATATGAAAATCTATACTATACTTTTTAAAATAAGATATAGATGTTAATATTATTAATAATTTAATTTATAAAATTAATATATTTATTTTTCGAGTTAGATATTGAGTAACTCGTTTTTACTCGTTAAGAACTCAAATCAAATCTATTTGAATCGAATGTTGACTGGTCTATTATCAAATCGAGCTCGAATAATTTATGATCTGTCTCATTTCATTTACGATCCTAATTATAAGGGTGATCGTCTTAATCGGTCATTAATTAGACAAATACTAGTGAGTATCGATTGAATCTTAATTAAATAGCTTGTGAAAGTAGATGAACTAATGAGATGATGTCTTACAAACATTATTGATGTTTTTTCAATTGCAAGTTAGAATCTTTGACGACATCATTGTCCTTTTTGCATTATTGTTCTTCTTAATCTGCCATTGTTGTTCTTGTTTTGTCTTTTATGTAAGCTCATGAGTAATAACACTGTATATATATATTTAGTACGAACTTATGATTTTATGTTAGAGGATATGATCTTATAAAATTTTAAAAAATAAAAATAAATTATCAATAAAAAAATCTAAAATATATTCATATACCATCAACCCATCACATATAAAGTTTAAATATTTTGATAATAGTGGATCCATAGACTGGTCCCCTCTTCGGAGATTTATATGATTGAGATTATTACTCTCTGAAGTTAATATTTTAACGCAAGCATATGCTAAAAAACATGGAAGAGGATCTTGTGTGATCTATTATCTCATGAAATCCTATACGAACACTACTTTATGGTTATACTATTGCATTAAGTATTACTAAATCTAAGCCGTCCACGATTCCACCAAAAGTATTCACATTTAATTAATCTTCTCTTCCAATTAAACCAACTGCAGGAAGTAGAGTCTTTATTGAAGAAACTAAATTTTATATCGACATCAGTGTTTGCGACTGATTTGCTGTATATGGATTTCTTGGACCGGGTACACAAGTCCGAGTTGAATCTCCGGTCCAAGGGTTTGTGGGAGGTTCCACACCCATGGCTAAACCTTTTTATACCCAAATCAAAGATTGCCGAGTTCGACAAGGGAGTCTTCAAGGGCATTTTGGGGAATAGGACAAGTGGGCCAATTCTCATCTATCCAATGAACAAAGACAAGTATGTCTACCATTCCATTTCATGGCCATACATGAAACATGTAGATACGAACTTCTCAATATTACCCATGCATGCGTCTATGATGTTGAAGACATGCACCCTTTCATTTCTAACGTATGCTCTTACATACTAATATACTTACTATCTGAATATGATACACATATGCATGCATACATATAAATATTATCTTCTCATTGCCCCATGCATGCATCTATGATGTTGAAATCTTATCATGCCACCCTTCCATTTCTGACATATGCTCTTACATACTGATATACTTTCTGAATATGACACACACACGCACACGCACACGCACACGCACACGCACACGCGCGCATGCATGCATGCATGGGGAACTTTACAGTATTTGGGTTGATGGTTTTGTTGTGCCTTTGATATGGTGCAGATGGGAACAACGGAGCTCCGTGATGATGCCGGATGAGGGTGTGTTTTACCTGGTGGCATTTCTAAGATCAGTCTCGGATAACGGGGAAGAAACTCAGAGCTTAGAGTACCTGACCGATCAGAACCGTCAGATTCTCAGATACTGTGATGAAGCAGGGATCAATGTGAAGCAATATTTACCTCATTACACAATGCAACAGGAGTGGATGGACCACTTTGGAAGTAAGTGGGATTGGTTCTGTGAAATGAAAAGGGAATTTGACCCAAAGCACATTTTGGCCACAGGCCAACAGATTTTCACACCCAACCTCAGTTCCTCATCCAATATGGCTTCATGACGATGACCATTGGTACAAAACAAAGCAAGAAGAAACAAGCATTAACACACTGACTTGTGAATATTGATTTTCTTGTTGTGCATAGAATGGCACAAAGAAAAGAGCCAAAAGGGAACATCATGATATTTTGGTTTAACCAAATTGGAACGAGGGTACAATTAGACGGGTAATTATGGAGGGGAGGGGAGGGTTTCTTATGATCTTTTTGCAGGCAGGTTTAATGTTTTGCAGTGCTCGGGATCTCGATAGCCTAAAACTGATTGCCTTTGGATATTGTTTGCAGCTTTTTCACACAGGTGGTTCCAGCTCATAAATTTCAGGAAGATGACAGACTGATAGAAGAGTAGTGGATTTCCAAATACAATTTCTCACAATTATGCCACAGATCTTATTCGTATCATACTATGATCTTTCGTGACTCAAATTTACGCCAACTTGAAACACTTTAACAGTAAAAGAAAATTAAAAGGTGAACTACATTTTTTTTTCACAAGGAAAAACAAATTAAAACAGGACAAAAAGTTACGATGAACCCTTTGTTTCGGAAGCCCCAAAACCAGAAGGTTGAAAACGTCCGGAGACAAATATGTTAAAATCAAGATCAAGGTTGTGATTTCTCACCAATCGCTACTATCATCAACGATGCTCATCTCTTGGCTTGGCAATTTCACAAGAGTAAACTCACGCACAATAATAGGGAAAGTGGGGCTGGTAAAGTTAGGAGATTAAAAAACAAAATCCACGGCGAGAAATAACCAAAGGGGACAGGGAACGAATTAAAAGGTTTAAAAGAAAGGAAAGTTTTACATTTTTCAGTCTGCTGCTTGAATTAGGTAACCACATTCGAATTAAATCTACGTTTAATTAGTAATTTCATACACAGCAAGACAAACGTAAAAAGTTCACCACCCCTCGGTTTTTATACACAAATTCTAGACACTAGGTTTGTTATCATTATACTTTATCATCATGGAACCACCATCTCGTCTCCTTGGGAGACCTTCCATTGCGACAGTTCTTAACGTATTTGTCGTTATCAGCCGGCCTTTGCTGCACAATTAGAGTGAAAACAGTTCTTCAGCATTGAACAGATAAGGCCAGATCTTGGGGAACAAAAACAAATGGTCAAATTGCTAATAATTCCAACAAACCTTTGCAGTTGAGCTTGATAACATGGATAGAATGCTTATGCAGACAGAACTCACAGTCATGGCAGGGGACCAGCTATCATACAGAATATCTGTGCATAATATGAACACCACACGATTTTCAACATTGGTTAGCTAAATAAACCGACCACGTGTATGACAATGAAAGGTACAACGTTGACATTAATGATCAAGCAGCCTTCGCGGTTGTTCTACATTATCCAAGAACTTAGTGTGCCTAATTGTTTTAATTAACCATTGTAATGTTTTTATCAAACATATGTCAAAAATGTTCTGGTTCATGCTATCCATGGTGTTGCTAACTACCAACCAAATAATCACGAGTAAAAAGAAACCTGACTAAAATGAAAAGTCACAGGCACATGAAGCAAAAATTACAAAGTAAAATATAAATCGATGCATGAAACAAAGTGCATAATAGATTCTTTGAATGTCTTAGTTAAAATTACCTAATCATCAAACCACGACGATCATGTAGAGCCCACAGACACAGAAGACAAGCATTTGGTTTGTACTTTATTTCACTTGCTTGTGTGGAACTACATACAACACTCTAGAGTGTCAAGACTTACTCATTGCGATGATGAGTAAACTGCTCAAAACAATAACTTCACTTACAAGCCAGTTGCATTAAATGCAAACAATGACCAACCTCTCTTAGACACCTTCCACTACATATTTTTTCCTAATTAATATTTCCATTAGGTGACCAACCAAATTCTCTTAAACATCTTCCATAACCAGTAATATAAGATAGTGTCCCCAAGCATAGGACAACAAAAACATTTGATTCTCTCTATCTAGTCTCCTCTAAAAGACAAACATGGGAAATTTATCATTTATCACTCTGTGACAGTATAATATACTTGAAAGTTTTGAGAATAGCTTAATGTACTCACAGGCTAACAGCTGCATATCAGCATGACTGATATCAGCATAAGTGAATAGTTCCAGTTATAAATAATAGGCTCAAGAGCTGCTATGAACAATGACCAAGCATGCTATACCAATTACAAAAACACTCTTAAATACAATAAAAGCGCCAACATGTGCTAAATCATTGGCACATTAGATGACCTCCCATTTGGGCGGTATGCCCTTTCTTAAAATCTATCATGACAACCAGAATCGAATTTTACAAATTCTGCACGACTGATGACAAAAAATTCTACACAAAGGTGAGAAGGTGACCGGGAACTTAAAGTGACATGCCGAAAAAGCACCACTACACTTAGGATTACGAATAATCATATCATGTTCAGTAAAATTCACAAACCAACATTCTCTATCATCTGTAAACATCATGCGTTCTTCAAGCAACAAGATTAAAAAGAGTAGTTATCCCTTAACTAATCACAAACCAGCAATTATTAACAAAGGCTAACGATATCAATACCTAAACAAATATGCCCATTGCTGTAAATATGAGGATGCAGAGGCGCTGGAGGAACGAATATCACCTGCTCAATCAACAAACGAATACCGTAATCTCAATTCATAAACCTTCAGTTTCACTAATTACACAGTGACAAAACAATAAGGAAACCGAAAGCAAAAGAGATACCTGAGGTGCCTCCATAGGATAATGCTCAGGAAAATCAACCTGAAGCTGATAAGTTTCATTAGCATAAAGCGTTCCAGGAGCTCCGTTGACTTCAATTATCCAACTTTCCATTAAAAAAACAGAAATCTAACAAATTAAAGACTACAATCCCAAATCAATCCATGTATTGACAGATTCGTTCATTAAAATAAATTAAATGAGTAAACATAAACAACAAAAAAAAAACCTTTGGAGATTATCGGTTACTTTATGCTTGAAACCGATAGGGGGGTTAACTTGCCACTCCACTAACTCTTTCTGGAGCCTATTACAGGCGATCTTGCTTAAAGCCTACGCAAAAACATAATCCAAACAAAAAAGGCCAAAAAAATCAAACAAATAGGGAAGGAAGAAGAAGAATAAATCAAAATAAATTCAAAAGACGCAACCTCAACTAGGGCTCATAAACCACAAAAATGGATTAAAAAAGAACAGCGAAAAGGAATATGAACCTTGCGTGAATGAGCGGAGGAGCTAGTCATGGCTATCGGCTTCAGCTCGAGAGAACTCAGATAGGAGAGCGGAAAAAAGACGGTGTCTTCTGCTCTAGTTTATATTCTCAAGCATTCTGGAAATGTGAATTATTATTGGTTAGGCCTGTAAACGAACCGAACGTACACGAACGGAGGTATGTTCATGTTCGTTCATTTAAAAAATAAACGAACATAAACGAACACGAACATAAACGAACAAAATTTTTTTTGTTCATGTTCGTTTATTAAGGAATATAACTTGTTCATGTTCGTTCATTTAATAAATAAACGAACATAAACGAACACGAACATAAATGAACACGAACATAAACGTTGGAGACCCTAACTTCCATTGTTCTTTCATGAAAAATAATCGACAATGCAAATCAATCAAATCTACAGTAATAAATAGCGTAAAAGCTAATTAGCAGTGATGAAATGTTAGAAGATATCAAATATTTAGATCGATCTTTTAAAGATATTAAATGATTCACACGACTTTAATTTAACGCTATAACATTTATCTTAGTGGTCCATGATTACATATGAACAATCATTTTCCACTACGTTATTCTAATAAATTCACCGGCTAAAAGTTTTATGACATCAATGCCAGCCTTTAGTGAGGTTTGTTAATAATTGTCATTTTCGTTGGCAGAGTAGAAAATTTAACAGCATGAAGATTTCGAACGGTACAAATTGGACTACAATGCAATAACATAGATCCGAAATCCCTTCGATACTACATATCATAACTTATATTATTGCTAAACCACCATTCAAAATTTTAACGTACCTAAAGTCTACACCACAACTAAAGGTCGCACAAAAACTATGAAAAACAAAGTTCATTATCAAAATGTATTTTCTACTTATTAATGGGTTCTTCTTAGAAAACCCATTACTTCCGCTATTACACTTATTTTCAGAAATTGCATAGAAACCTTTGTTTTGTTTTCTGGCAAATTCTATATATTTTTCTCTTTACTGATGCTCATATACTTCTAGAAAGAAGTATGATGTTTTCTTGAGTTTTAGATGTAAAGATACTCGCAATAACTTTACATATCAACTATTAAGCCAAATAAAACAGAGAAAGAGATGAAAACAGACCTGTAAAACTTCAGATTACACTAGGGTTTGGGAAAAAAAGGGGAAAATGAATATAGGTGCGAGGTGCCTCACGGGTTAACATATTGTATTTAATCTCCAAATAAAATTGGGTTAATCATGGAGTTGGTCATCAGAATATCAGATTAATTAATATTTTTAAGATACTTACAAATTGGTCACCAAAATTTATTTAAGAAGATTGGGTTAAACATAAATGAATGAACATAAACGAACATAACCGAACGAACATAAACAAATATAACTGAACGAACATAACCGAACGTTCACGAACGTAAATGAACGAACGAGACCTATGTTCATGTTCGTTTATTTAATTAAACGAACACAAAATCTTGTTCATGTTCGTTCATTTAATAAATAAACTCACATAAACGAACTTCCCGCCGCACTGTTCATGAACGGTTCGATGAACGTTCAGTTCATTTACAGGCCTATTATTGGTGGAGAATGTTAGAGAAAAATGTCACTAGATCGAACGGCCCATAAAATCATGGGCTTTGAGTTTTGTATTGCTGTTATTTTCCACGTGGCTAGAAAAAGAATATGGATAAGTCACGTTTTGCCCACTGAAGTTGACTTCCTTTTCCAACTTGATCCCTAACTCTTTTGTCCATATTAATCCCTGAATTTGATTATTTTTTTAATTTAATTCCTTGACTTAATACTTTTGTGTTATGATGACATATACTCATAGATAATATGATGTTATCCCATGAATATTGGCTTTTTTACTAAAATATCATCCTGACAGGTAATAATTACCTGTCATACACCCTTTCTCCAAATTTGACCGATCTAGCACCCTTTCTAATAAGGCGTGGATCGTCATCTACGCCTTTGCAGGGTTTCCTCCGAAGTGGCACCACGTCATGAAAGGTGCAGATGGTCATCCGTGCCTTATCCGAGCTGGCGCCACATAAGGTCAGGTGCGGATCGCCATTCGCGCCTTCCATTAATACCTCAACCGTTCACACCTGCCACGTTAATACACCATCCGGCTAAACCCTCTCCCCTCTCCCTATAAATATCCCTCATTTCCTCATTCAAACACACACCAAACACAAACATCCAAACCCTCTCAAAGCTCAAACCCGCTCAAATTCTCGCAAAGCTCAAATTCTATTAAGAAGGTAAAATATTTTATTGTATTAAAAAAATTAATAATTTATTATTTAATTAAATTTTATTATATTAACTTTTTATTAATTTTTGCAGTTATAAAATGGATGGTTTGCTACGTTTAGATGTACATCATATCTCGATGCATTTTGTTTATACGGTAACAATTTTAAATTCTATTTTCATTTTAATTATTATTAATATTTTATTTATTTATTTTTTTTAGTATTAATTTATATTTTAATTTCTATAATATTTATTAAATTAGGAGATATATCATATATTAGATCCCTTCATTCGTAATCTTAAGTTAGAGATACCTACCCGTGTTTGGCCGTATTTGTCGAGACTGAATTCGGTTATGTAGCAAAATATGAAGGGCACTGTAACATATAATCCAACTTTATTTCTGTATTGGTTGAGCGGTTGAGACCAAAGACACACACATTCTATCTTCGGTGTGGAGAGTGCACAATTACGCTGGAGGATATTTCCATGCATTTGGGGCTTTCGGTAGATGGAGATGTGATTTCTAGGGTGGCACATGGTGACTGACATTCATTGTGCGAGGAGTATCTTGGAGGTGTCCTGCCTAATTTCAACGGTGGTCGAATTTCCTTAAATTAGTTGGATGCAACTTTCAAGCATTTGAGTGGCGACGCCTCCGAGGAGCAGGTTAAAATGTATACATGAGCTTGCATACTACAACTCGTAGGATGGCTCTTGATGCCGGACAAATCGTGCAACCAAGTTCATTGTATGTGGTTGCTTTACCTCGTCGATTTTCATCATGTTGGCACACTGAATTGGGGCTCCATAGTTTTGAAATTTTTGTATAGGGAAATGTGTCAAGCTACTCACTATAGAAAAAATGCTATCAGCGGATGTCTCATTTTGCTCCAGTGTTGGGCGTAGTATCCCATGTCCTTTTATGTCCGGTGGTGAAAAACTCGTTGGTCTTCCTGCTATTATTGAGGTAATTACAATACTGATTTTTTTATATTAATAATTTTATTTAGTATATAATAAAAATTATTTCATTGAATAGGTGGTCAAGTGAAAGAAAATATCATCGAGATTTAACTGATGAATTGGAAGAAATTAGGCTACTAATTGACCAGAAGGCTGTCACATAGTATGTATTTAAATAACAAAATGTACTTTTATTATCGTTATATAATTAGATTATTGTTTTGATAAGAATTATATATATTTGTTTTAGTTTGAATGGACTCCTTATTGTACATAAGAGATGAGGATTTGCATCCCACATCACTTAAGAGACCCATTAGAAGTCTGGATGGTGGTGGTCCCTTTGATATGTTATGCTATTGTTTGGTTTTGTACAATCTATTTCAGAAGCACCTAAGAATCTCGACGATTTGCATATCATCGATAGAAGGGGCAAAAAAGAAGTCGACTGGCTGTTGAAGCACTATGAGTTGGTAATGATATGAGAGGATCGACATGGGCACATTCCCCGTAAAGAACCCATTTATGTGGATCATTACTCGGTTACGGATGGTTATTATGAGTGGTTCAATAGGAACGGGAAATCGTTCCTACTTTTCGAAGAAGCACGAGGCATGAGCATTCGTCGACGTTGAAAAAGACATCTACCGTTACAACATCATTGTCTCGACTCGTGGACGAAGAGCATGCGCTTTCGACTCATCCTTTTCGACTTGTCCTCAGCTGCAACATTGGAACCTTCACAGAAACCACCGTCTATACCACTATATATTCTGCAATCAATTCAGATGGTACCGTAGCTATATCATATGGCACCACAACCATTTCATATGCCATTACAACCAGGTTAGACGCCACCGCTGTAGAGTTATATGACCCCTCCTGGCATATATTATAGTTATATGTTTGCATATTCAACTTGGGGTTCATATGCTAGTTATTTGGCAGGTGAAGCTTCACCACATGCACAAAAACCTCCTGTACTCTTTTCGCACTCTTCGATGTCGGTCTTGTCGCAGTTTTCATAGTTTTCTATGAGCGGTGGTATAGTCAGTCCTACACCTCCATGGTCTTTATTCTATGGAGGTGCTACATCGTCATTCGTCCCTCATCAACAAAATGTATCTGCTCATGATGATGATGATGATGATGATGATGAGAGTGAGGAGTCAAAACAAGTTATACGAAGAAATCCTCATCGAGACAAACAACCACCACCCTACGGAACACATTTAAGACGCATGCATCGATAGAGTCATACACTTCATTATTTTTGTATTTAATTTTTTATTTACCAACAATTATAATTTTTTAATTTAATTTTTTACTTTTTATTACTTAATTTATTTTGTTTGTTAATTTTTTTATTACTTAATTGTTCGAATGTTTTTATTATTTAGTGTTTTAATTTTTGTTGTTGTATCATTTTCTTGTTAATCGGTGATGCTCAAATGACATTAACTAAAAGTAAATGAAATTTAAATTACAGAAACTTAGATTTCATAAACAACAACTACATCAAGCATTACATCAACGGTTACTTGATGACAAAAGAGATTAACATTTTTTCCTAGTGTGTCATAGGTTTCTACAATACCCACATCTTTTGTTTTCTCTGGACGTTTCCCGAATATCAAATCACAATTAATTCAAGTGGATTTTGGACAACCGAGCTCCTTCAATAAGGACATATCTTGTACAATCAGATGCCAATTCTCGGTATATGGGATCCACAAAACGATTATAGTCTTGATGGGTATGCGAGCAAGTTGCTATGACATGAGAGCATGGATACTTCAAAGCTTGAAAAACACATAGTCGCACCATCTGTCTCGTAGATTAACTCTGAACGAGTT